TTTGTATAACAACTGAAGGTATATAGTTACTTGATTGTGGTATATTATTGAACTATGTGCCTGGAAAATACATAATATCCCCCTTTGGGCTCCTTAAGTCAGTTTGCATGAGTCTAACTTTATCCAGCCGTGACGAGGGTGCTCACAAAGCTGTCCATGTCAGTTTGGATGAATTGCCCATAGTCCTATTTTCATAAACTGTATTGCTTTCCTAAATCAGAACTGAACTTAGATAACCAAGGTTAGGTCATGTGTTGACCCATTAACCTTCGACAGGTCACATCATGTCACCTGTGCTTTACCTGATTGGAAATCACATCAGAGCCAATAAACCTAGAGTCAAATGTGTGCATGTCAGAGAGCGCTGCCTGATTAGAGGGATTAAAAAAAACCCACAGAAACTGACAAAGCACCTGCTTTTTTGTCCTCACAGTAATCTGCTAAAACCTAATCCTGACTCATCTCACCAGTTTTGTGTTTCTAATGCTCACCGCACGGCAACAMAAAAACAAAAAAACCCAATGTTTTCTACATCACACAGTGCGCATAGCCCCGCATGCTGTGTAATCTTTGTCAGGGAATTTAAAATGCTGCTTACGATTTTAAATAAATACGGGTGTTACATGTACAAATTACAATACAATACGGCGTTGTTTTAGTCTTTATTTTTTTGCTTAATCCCTTTAAAGTTTATAGCAAGGAGACCGGTCTGTTCCCGTTTTGCGCTCGGCTACTCATTTGATTACAGATTACAACTTCAGCGTGTGCAAGTTTACATTTAAATYACCCAGTGTGGTTTAAAACAAGGCTTTAGTTTGAATGAAATGCTTCCAGTCAAACAGCGTAAACAGATGCAGCCTCACTTGAACATTTATATGACGGATCACATTTAATTCCACACAATTTTTACCTACTTGAAAGGGATTTTATTGAGAATACATCACAATCTCTGTAAATTATGAATGCTTGGACCTGCAGGTTTGGAATAGTGTCTCTTGATGATTTTGTTTCCCACATCTCTTTATGCTCAGTCACCCGTACGCTCGCTTTGGTTTTAAGAAATCTAAACTTAATGTTTCCTCCTCGTGACAGTGCATCCAAGTCCTTCAGCGTCTTTCATCTCTGTTGCTGAGGTGTGTAATTCTGTCATTTCGAGCATGTTAGGATGAATTATAAGGAAAAACACCCCACAAACAACGGTGGGGGGTTAGGGGGGTGGCAAACAAACAAAAAAATCTCTACAAAGTGATGCTTCCCTCATGCGGCTTTGCGTCAAAGCTGCTGGAAAAATTTTGTCACTTCAGTTCAAATTTAGTGCTTCTGTTTGTTCCTCGGCGCTCAGAGTGCATCATCAAAGAGACGCTGCCTTTGAAGAGCGGCCCAGTTGTGCTGTTTGTTTGTTTGTTTGTTTGTTGACACTCCTGATTTCTCCTCTTCCCCATTTGCCAGATAAGCTGAGTACAAATAGAGATTTGCTGTCTTTCGCTGCCAGATTACGGCAACAGGTTTATATGTGACATGTATATGGATGATGGATTACAGAAGGAGGA